TAGGTTGTTGATACAGCCTATAGGTCATGCGTTTCAGTTGGACCTAGCTAAGCATAATGTATTGGAAACTCCACCATGGTAACTAATATCCCAATTGTTCATGAAACCGACACGTTATATCAGGGATTCTTTTCTACTAAAAAAGCACTTTGAAAACATACTACTGAAGTTCGCATTCAACAACTTAAAGCGCTGCTTAGAAAACAATCAAGGGTTGCGAAACAACTGAGGAAGGTGCTTAGACAATCCAACGTACTTGCCACGTATAGCAGACAATTACTCCTACTAATACTGAAGCAGCCTCGACAACAGAGGATATAACGCATCCAGCCAGTGTTTCCCAAAATCTGACTGACTTTGATGAGTTTGAAAGTAAAATTAAGATGGTTCATAACTTAACTCATCAAGCTTACGTGCATACTTATGCAATGGTTGTTTGTTCAGGGCTTGAACACCGGGTGCTGAAAAAGTATGCGTGAAGTATACCGACGCTGCACAAATAGTGAAGAAAAAAAAAAGACCAAGAGTTACGACTGAGCACCCTTTTAAAGTGTGAAATAATACCAACTACTACGCCGAGCCATAGTCGATTTATTTCAACTCCCAAAATTCAAGCATATGGGCAATGTTTTTCTTTATGCAATACTGAACAAATGCCTGCACACAATTACAAAATTATGCATCACGTTTTCAATGACATCGACTTTCTCCAAATGCTATATTCTGATAATGGTAGCGAGTTTTGCACCGACGGAGTAGATACACTTATACTCAAATCAGACATGATCCTTGGGCATGGAGGTACTTATAGACCTCATACGCAGGGTGCAAATGAAACACGTCATAGAGAACTTGAGAACTCTCGTGTATCGCACCAAATGACGGTATATATATGTGACTTGATCACTTGAAATGGGGTTAAACTCGAATGAATAGCTGCACTAATTCTCATACCACCTTTTTGGCCGCTATAGTGGATTGCAAGCACCGCCTGAGAAACACGTTACCACGTGGTTACAAATGATTGTAGAAATACGGCCTCC